TCATTGTATATGTGAACAATACATGGGTGTTCTTATATACAATTTATTCACAATGGTGCCACAATTAGTAGAGAAGCAATTTATCACTGCCCAAAAAGAAAGAAATTAAATAATAAATGAATATCTGTTTGGGTCTTTTACTATCTGGTTTAAATTTTATTATCAAATCTAACTTGCTCTATAGTGGAAGTCTGTTAAAATCCTTCCAGATCTTTATGATTTCAATGATTTCAATGTACATTATATGTAAATCCTATTCCTCTATGGTTTAATATCTTTATTTTTTAGTTAAATATTTTGGAATTATACTTTTTATTTTTTTCTCAATGGGTTATTACTATTATTGTATGTGGTAACAATAGAAAAACGTCCTTATACACAATTTATTCATGAAGGTGCCATAATACACGATAAGCACTCTTTTCACCACTAAACTAGAAAGAAAGTTAACTATATAATGAACATTTGTTGATATTATTTATTAGATGGTCTAAATTGTATTATCAAATCTATTTTGGTCTATATTAGAAGATTGTTAAATTTTTTCAGACCTCAGATCTTATTGTACTCTATATGTAAGAACTTTTTTTTTTATTATTATTATTATCCGATTAATCTCCAAGGGATTGTGCTGCACCTCCTCCTCTAGGCGGCCGCACCTCTTTGTGTAGTTTTTCTACATTATTTCTTTATAGCTCAATGTATTTTTATGTATTTAATAGAACTTTGTTCTTGGGTAATTGTTTATTAAATGTTTGTATGAGACCACTTTTTGGTCCCACACTGTGGGGTGTTATTTGTATAGTTTTTTTTATCAGAGCAGGAGAGTTTCTAACAAAATTGTTATATTATTTGTATGTTAAAATTTCTATCCTTAAATGTACAAGATTTAAATACAAATTCCAAAAGAAACAGAATGTATAATTCGTTAATTGGACAAAAAAATCCAAGTGGCCTTTATACAGGAAACCCACTGGCTTTGCGAATCCCAACAAAAATGGGGAGGTCTTAATTTTACAATGATTGTTCAGGCCTCTTTAGTAGATAAAATAAAAAGAAGGGTAGCAATCATTTTTAAGAACGATTTAAAATGAGAAATTATCCATTTAGAACGAGATAGCGATGCCCGTTATATTATTTTGGTGTGTAACATAGATAACGAGATATATACCTTGGTTAATGTGTACCTCCCTAACATTGACCCCATGGCTACATTCTCACGTATAATGGACAAAGTATACAACATATCTCTAAATTATATAATCTTTATGATGTCTGGAGAATATTCCATCCGTTAGAGAGAGATTACTCTCACCTGTCTAGTGCTCATAATACTTATTCCCGGATAGATTATTGTTTAACCAACGCTAGTTCGATCCCCCTCTTTAAAAAAGTAACAATTAAGGAAAATCCCTGGTCCGATCATAGCTCTATTTTGATGGAAATAGGTCATAATCAATCACCAGGTAGAACTACGTGGAAATTGAATGATGCACTTATTAAAGATGCGAAGAATAGAGAGGATCTGACAAAATTATTAACATACGTTTGGGAAGAAAATCACTTGGTGGATACTTCCCCAGCAATAAATTGGTGCACGCATAAATCCGTCATGAGAGGATATTTAATTAAATTGGGTCATATTAATAAAAAAAAATGGGGGGACTTGTATATTGAATTTTATAATCTTTCAAGTCTAAACAAAAATCAATATACTCCAGAATTAAAGTTCCGGTTAAATGATATACAAAAGAGAATTAATCTTAAGGAGGAAGAAAAAATCAGGATGAATATAAATAAACTAAGGCTCATAAATTATTATAACGGTAATAGGGCTAATAAAAAATCTCACAAAGAGATTACAAAATCACTATGCACAAAATAGGGTGGACCATCTGGTAGATGGTCAAAATATCTATTCCACCCCAGAGCAAATTGGAAAAAATTTTAACAAATTCTATGAAGAATTATACAACCTGAAGTTGAATCCTAAATGTCCACTGACATTAGACATTACCTATCTAACATTTCGATTCCCAAATTGTCTGATCAAGATTTGATAATGCTAAATAAAAAAATCTCTCTAGAAGAAGTCCAATTTCAAATACATAAATTACTTACAAACAAAACACCGGGCCCTGATGGCTTTTGATAAAACCACTAACGGAATTGTTCAATGACATGGCCGAAAACAAATTTATCCCTAAAGAACTTCTCCAATCTAATCTTATTCCTATACTAAAACAAAACAAGGATAGTTCAAATCCCTCAAATTATAGACCTATAGCATTGATCAATGTAGATATGAAGCTCTATTCCGCAATTATTGCTGAGAGAATCAAAAAAATTATAGCTAAAATAATTAATCCCGACCAAATCGGGTTTATCCCAGTAAGAATGGCCTCAAATAACATTAGAAAATTATTAGATATTTTGGATAAGGCCCATAGACAAAAAATGCCCCTCCTGGCCCTGTCTTTAGACGCGGAGAAAGCGTTTGACAGGGTCGAGTGGGGTTATTTAGCGGAGCTCTTGATGGCTTTTGGCTTTAAGGGCTGGATACGCAATGCAATTTTGGCTTTGTATTCTACCCCTTCTGCCAGAATGGTTGGACCCAATATATCTGCAGGATGGTTTGACCTTCCAAATGGTACGAAGCAGGGGTGTCCTCTATCCCCATTACAATATATTTTATCACTTGAGCCCCTTGCCATGTATATTAGAAACAATCTTTTTATTAAGGGTGTACCGATAATACATAGGGAACTAAAGATTTCTTTATATGCTGACGATGCATTAATTACTCTTTCCTCTCCAGAAGACTCTCTAGTCCACTTAATGCAGGAGATTGATAAATATTCCAAGGTTTCGAATTTCAAGCTAAACATTGTGAAATCGACTGCCCTGCATATGAATATAGATAAATCAATTATAGAGAGGCTATCTCATATATATATATATATATATAATTTTATTTGGACTAAAAATGAATTAAATTATTTAGGTTTAATTATCCCTGCAGATGTTAATATTACAATGGAGAAGAACATATTAAACCTAATGAAAAATAAAACTTGAAATTAAAAAAATGGAAAACTTGGAAACCTCTTGGTTGGGCAAAATAAATATTATTAATTCATATATACTGCCAAAGTGGTCGTATCTCTTCTCCATGATCCCGCTCAAAATTTCAAAATCATGGTTGACAATGATACAAACAAGTTTTTCAAAGTTCATTTGGAAAAATAAAACACCTAGAATTAGTCAAAACATCTTATCAAAAAATTATCAAAGGGAGGTTTAAATTTCCCAAATATTACTTATAATTATTATGCCAATATGATTAGACATATACACCTACTACAAGATCCCTTGATGTTCCAAGAACCTTGGTTTATTATAGAGTCTGAAGTATCTCATATCCCGAATTTACAATATGTTATGTGGACGCCTGATAGGAACAAAATAAATATGTCTCAAATTAATTCTACTATTCTACTTCAATCTGCAGAGGTCCGGGAGGAAATTAAGAAAACTTTTGGGCTTTCGGCAATTAATACCTAGGTCGTGTAGACTTAAGATATTAGAGATAAATATTGATGATCTTCTCTTAAGCCACTGGGCAGATACTGATAAGCTAAGGATCTCTGATCTTATGCTGGGCAAAAATTGAATGCCTTTCCAACAGATTGTTAATACTTTTCATATACCATCTAGGGAAATCTTTACCTATCTCCGAATCAAAAACTATATTGATAAGAATGTTATAAAAAGCTCTTCTCCACTCAAAATGCGGCAACAGCACTTCTGCATCTAAATTGGAATTTTAAATCTCTAAAAGAGTCTTCTTTAGCCACTGTCTAGTGGCTATAAAAATCATAATTGCTAGATACTGGAGATCATCTATTCCTTTCCAAAAATCTTTCTTAATTAAGCAAACTAGTTTCAGTTGACAATGGAAAAAGGCCTAATAAATAACATAGGACTCCGTTCTAAAAAGAAAGAAGATATTTATTCTGAATTATTATTAAAATTTTCCAAAAAAATATGCCTAATCTGTTTTAGACATAATTACTTCAGAGAATCTTTATAGGCTAGCCAATATAGTAATTAATATATATATATATATATATATATATATATATATATCTATTAGAGATAAACGGGATGGTATAGACTTATAAATCGTGGCAATGGAATATAAATCCTTATAAATTCGATGGACAATAAAGTTGGTATGACATAAAAGGAATGTTATCCTGCTCTGATAGGGTGTGGGTTTGTCTTGTTAGTAAATGTTTTGTGTTGTCTATGTCCAATATCAATATCATTGTCTTTTTGATATAATATATTTCTGCTGTTTTGATACTGATATTGATATCTTTTTATTAATTATATTGATATGATATATATAATGATTCTTTGTATTTGTCTGTTTAAAAAAGAAAATTCTTAATAAAGATTTATTATAAAAATAAATAAATAAATCGCGCCGAATGAATGAATGAAAGAATCCAAAATGAAAAAACTAACGAATTTCGTACTGACTAAACAAATTTTTTTTTTGTACGAATGCATTCGTATGAAATGAAAATTTCTGAAGTGCCCACGTCTAGTCTTTTCTATATAATGAGTACCCTGGTATTGCTATGTCCCAGTAAATTTTCTAATTTACCATGTCTCAGTAACAGCGACTAAATCTACATTATCAGTTGCCATTATTGCCACAAGTTCATGGATCTTATCCCCTAAACTGCAAGCATTTGTAGATGAAATGGAAAAATCAATCAATGAATTGATTATTTCTTTGTGTATCTGCCCCTGGCCAAATTAAAGAAACAATGCGTGCACGCTCCCTGAAGTAATTCACACCAGACACAGGTTCCAGGTTGCTGAATAACTTGAGGAATGTTTATTCAGAGGGGCCGGCAGGTCCCTTTTAAAGCAAAATTACATCATAAGCATTGTCAGAGATAACATGAAATAATACATCAACAATTGGTTAAGTGTTAAGTGGTCTTCTTAATGCTCTGCCCACTAAAGGTGATGTCACTGGAACCATGAGGGTCTCCCACGGATTCCAGCACCATCTTGTTGCACGAGGTAGTTAGTTGGTGTTATAGGAAGGGAGGGGTTAGAAGCTTCTAGTAGCCATTTTGTCTAGATATGCGTGTGTAGCTTATATACTGATTTTAGTGAGATGAGTAAATATACATTTTACTAACTAGAAAATATATCAATATCTCATTTCCACAACAGTCCCCCCTTAAAATGGCTATTTACAATAACAACTGCCACTGCCCCTAGCGTATCCCTAGCTGCCTGCAGCTCATCTGTCTTAACAAGCATCGAACTCTTCACTCCGTGGGTAACCCGCGGCGGCTAGTCCACCACATCTCCACACGTGAGACTTGCCCGTAGAGACAGATGCTTTCCCTACGCTATCCCTACAGGAATGCAGTTGTCTGTTTAAATTGATGGGATTGGAGGGGTGTATGTGGTGTGTCACATTCTAAGTCAGTGACGTCCTGGTGTAGGAAAGTAGGAGTTACGTTGTCTATAGTCTTCCCTACTGTCTTCTCTAGGTATTTCTGTACACAAGGGAGTACACAACAAGTTAGAAACAGGAAGATGATAATCATTATGAGAACTGTTGTCCCCACCTGGAATAGGGTTCTCTGCCAGTCATTCATCCACCCAAACCACCTGTCCCAGGTATCAGTGACTCCTGAGTTCTTCTTTAGTTCATCAGAGAGATTATATAGAGTTTCTCTATGGCCATAGTTACCTTACCATTGGGCCCGGTGTTGTCTGGAATAAATGTGCAACACGTCATGGTTTCAGGGAGAATTTTGCATACGCCCCCCTTTTCTGCTAAAATCATATCCAGAGCCATTCTGTTCTGAAAGGTCATTTGGGTGGTGGCTTGCAGCTGTTCTGCTAGGCCCTGTAGGGCATCCCTGGTATAATTAACAAACCGCTGCTGATTATAATAGATATAATTAATCCAATTGACATTCTTATTAGCGGTAATCATTGGAATCAAAGATTCAAACTCAGCTGCCACTTCATCCCTTGCCTTGAATTCACTAGGCACCCCCCTTGGCACACCAATGGCATCAATGTAAAAGTGTGGATCAAAGCTCCCTCGGATGGGTGCTTACCTCTTGACTCTGGAGTGTGTGTGTGTGGGGTCTAACACATTGTGGTAACCATCCGAGATTATACGGATAGGCATTATGGCCTTGGTCAATGTACATTCCCCCCACCATAGCCCCACCAGTTGGGACCTCAATTGTTTATCACCACATAGCCAATATATGTCCCCAACTGTCTTTGCGTGATTCATTAATAATGCTATGGGTGGATTATGATAGGTGGAGCAATAACCAGATGGGAATTTGCCCATGAATGTACCTGTGTTCTTGGATATTGAATAGCAAGTGTAGTTACCTGGGTATACCGTGACTCCATCAGGTGGTCTAATTGGGTGTCCCTGGGTGATTGGGTAGACCTTTTCCCATGATTCACACATTGAGGAGTTAGTAGTAGATTGTGCATAAAGACTCAAGACACATAGTTCAACATCGGGAGGTAGATTTAAAGGCACCGTACCCAGGTGGGGTCTGGCCCCTCCACATACATAACAATTAGTCTTATTGTGTGAGTTAGCATTATATCTTATCCATAGGTTAGTGTCTGAGAACCCAGTTTCCACTGCCATGGTATCTTCAAAAGTAGGGTTAGCAATAGCAACCATGTCATGTAAAGTCTTGATGTGAGGTTTTAGTGGGTTAATAGTCATGTGTGTAGTTCCTACCCAGTCAGATGAGTTAAGCATGTCTTGCAGATAAAATGTCCCCAATTTGTTGTATGAGCTGCCTCCCCTCCAGTACATTCCCATTACATATTCCCCTGCATCCTTTGGACTAGGGTGCTCTATGTTCAGTGTGAGTTTGATGGGTGTTGACCCGATAGGTTTACTTAAGGTCATTCTGGAGAGTAGGGGTTTTCCGTCTTTGTCAATTCTGTCTAGGGCGCTCTGGGGCCTATAGCCCCATGGTTTACCCGTATTCCACCCAGCCGCCTTCCATGAACTACAATGATGTCCCCAGGACCCTCCAGTCACACAAATGTATGGGTCTTTTTTACTGGGTATGTCCTTGTATATAGCAGCATATTGTGTTTGTGGGAAGGTACAAGTAACAATATCACAGTAATCAAAGGTGAAAGTAGCTACATCTGTGTTGGAAGAATTGTACCAGAAAGTGTAGACATGGTTATCTTTGGTTATGGCCACCTGCTGGGCACATGCAAAATCTAGCAGCATAGGAAAACACAAGAAACACAATAAATTCATAACTCAGCAGGGACAACTTCTTCTGGAGCAGGCACTTTCTTGCAGTGTGAGGCGTGTATCCAGGAACTCTTCCCGGCCAGCTTAACTGAGGTAGCTGTGATTAGAAGTACTTGGTAAGGAACATCAAATCTTGGTTCAAGGGTGTGCTTCCTGAGAAATTTCTTGACCATAACCCAATCACCAGGAAGCAACTTGTGTGTACCTGTATTCGACTCAGGATCTGGAATAGAAGAAAACACTTGGGCATGGATTTTGGTCAAGGCATGAGAAAGAGCAGTTACATAATCTACCATAGCATCTGCCTGAATCTGAAGCTGTTGAGGGAAATAACAACCTAACCTTGGTGCTGTACCGAACAAGATCTCATAAGGTGACAAGCTGTATTTTCCCCTAGGGGTGTATCTCACACTAAATAATGCTAATGGAAGACTCTCAGGCCAGGGCATGTTAGTTTCTTGTGACATCTTAAGCATTCTGGCCTTCAATGCGCCATTCATGCGTTCTACCTTACCACTACTTTGTGGGTGATATGGTGTGTGGAATGCAAGGGTCACCCCCAGTGCTGACCAGACTTCCCGTGTCAATGATGCAGTGAAGGAGGTTCCTTGGTGGCTTTCAATCACTTCTGGGACTCCGTACTGGCAGGCAATTTCCGTCAGAAGATATTTGGCCGTGTTCTTGCAGTGAGATTAGCCACTGGGAAGGCTTCTGGCCATCCTGAGAACATGTCCACAATGACTAGTGCGTATTCATAACGTCCACTCTTTGGCATTTGGATGTGATCAATCTGTATCCTCTGGAAAGGGTATTGGGGCTTGGCCAGGTGATTGGGTGCAGTTTTTTTTTTTTTCTTCCCAGGGTTGCATTTTGCGCATATTGTACAAGATCTACAATAATTCTGTGTCAGAGTAGTAATGCCTGGTGCTTCAAAATATTTATCAATCAGGGAGTTCATCAAATGTTTTGAAAGATGGGCTGGACCATAAGCCCATTGCACAACAGCTGGGTACATATTTTTGGGTAGGCAAAACTTAATATTGATGGTGTAAACATCATCACGGAGAACAGCTCCTTTGTTCTTCCAACTTTGTTTCTCCTGGGGAGTGGCAGCTGCTTGTTGCTCCTTTAGAAGTCTGAGATCTGTAGGTAGTGTCTGCATAGTGTAGATAGGTACTGTGTCAGTGGCCACTCTTCTGTCCACTTCCCACCCTTGTCGTGCTGCTTCCTTGGCAGCTTGATCAGCCAAGTGGTTGCCTCGTGCTTCCTCTGAATCTAGCCTTCCATGGGCTTTCACCTTTAACACTGCCACTTCTGCAGGGAGCACCAAAGCATCCATCAGTTCTTCAATGGCTGCCCCATGTTTCACTGGAGTACCAGTGGCTGTGAGAAATCCTCTAGTCTTCCAAATTAGACCAAAGTCGTGTGCCACTCCCAGGGCATATCTTGAGTAGGTATAAATATTGACACGTAGGCCTTCGGACAGCTTGTAGGCTACTGTGAGGGCTGTTAGCTTGGCTTCTTGAGCTGACTTAATTGGCTGGAGTGCGGCTGCCTGTAATATCTGGCTTTCTGTAGTAACTGCATACCCAGTGTGATACTGCCCTTGTTCATCAGCAAATCTGGAGCCATCCACAAACAGTGTCTGGTCTGGGTTGAGTAGAGCAGCTTCGTGCACAGTTGGCAAGTGGGTAGTTTCCATCTTCATCTGTTCAAAGCAATCATGAGGAGTCATGTTCCATGGCAGGTAAGTCTTCACAAATTTCTGTGTGATATCTAGGATATCCGGCTGTACTGCAGTTGATAACTTTCCTGGTTACACCCATAGAGTTCAGTTGTTCCTGGGCTAGTGTGCTCCAGGACTTGGCCATTGGGCCTAAGTCTTTCCATGAGATGTCATGAGACTTGGTGAGGGATATGTGTGGGACAGCAGTCTCCCAATGACGGTAGAGGTGAGATGCATCCTCTGGGAGGTGTACCAGCAGGACCATGTTGCCTGTGGAGTCCCATAGCAAGTCTGTCAATGTGATGTGAATTTCCACAAGTTGGAATAGTTCTTCTTCATAACCATATCAGGGCCTGGGCTGTCTTTAAACCACAGGGTACAGTGCAACAAGTTCTCTGGTTGCACATCATGTGGAGGTGTAAGAGTAGGTAGTTGAAATTCCACCCGGGCATCTGGATTGACGTCCAGGCTGTACCAGTACTGTGCTACTCCCCCCTTGGGAAGTGGCAGAAGAGTGGCCGGGTTCAGCGAATAGCAGCGTTGAAGGGAAACATTGTCAGGTAACAATAAAGAGGTTTGCAACCGTAGATGGCGTTGAGAAGAGAGATGTTTAGGCTGAACCTGCTGAAGGATTGCAGAAATATCATGAGGCGACAAAATGGTGAGATTATGACCGAGAACAAAGTCATTAGTTTTATCCAGTAAAGCACTGGCAGCAAACACAGCCCTGAGGCAAGAGGGGCTACCTCTGGCAATGGGGTCAAGCATGCAGGAGAAGTATCCAATGGGCCTCTGTCTGGAGCCATGTTTTTGAGTAAGGACACCGGAAGCGTGGCCTGACTTTTCAGAAACAAACAGCTTAAAGGGCAGCTGGTAGTTGGGTAGGCCCAAGGCTGGTGCTGATGCAATAGCCCTCTTCAGAGCAGTGAAACAGGCAATTGCATTTGGTGAGAGGAGAAAGGGCTCACTCTTCAGAGTATCGTAGAGTGGCTGCATTAGCTTGAAGGCTTCTGGAATCCAGGACCTGCAATACGTGATGAGGCCTAAGAAGGCATGGAGAGACTGATGTGCTGCAGGTAAGGTAGATTCAAGATGGCTAAAATCCGTTGTTTGGTGAGATGACGGGTGCCATGGGAAAGACAATGTCCCAAGAAGACCACAGAGGGCTGGCACCACTGGAGTTTGGATTTGGAGACTTTGCAACCTTCTTCAGCAAGGAAGTAGAGGAGTTCCTCAGAGTCTCGTTCAGCAGTGTGGAGATCAGTAGCACAAAGGAGGAGATCAACGTATTGGAGTAGAACAACATATGTATGAGATTTTTGCCAAGGTTCCAGAACCATGGACATGGCGCGGGCAAACTGAGTGGGGGAGTTTTGAGCCCCCTGAGGCATGACAGTCCAAGTATATTGCTGACCTTCGTGGGAGAATGCAAAAAGGTGTTGGCAAGACGGGTCAAGTGGTACACTGAAAAATGCATTAGCCAGATCCACAACAGTAAAAATTGTAGCAGTTGGTGGAACCTGGGATAAGAGAGTGTGTGGATTTGGAACAATTGCAGTATCTTTGACAGTTACTTCGTTAACAGCACGTAAATCCTGAACCATCCGATACTGATCAGGCTGTCCCTTTTCAGTTTTCTTCTTGACAGGGAACAGAGGTGTATTGCATGGTGACACACACTTGACAAGGGCGCCTTTTGCTAGGAGACTTTCAACTTGTTTGGAAATAGCGAGGGCTTGTGCGGGTTTCAACGGATATTGTGGTCTTCGGGGAGGTGCCACTCCTGGCAATAGCGTGACCACAACGGGGGAAACTTTAAGGCGTCCAATATCATCCGGGCCAGTGGACCAGAGCTTTGTAGGGATCCTGTCCAGAGCATGTGCGACCCTTGATTCCCCTGTGGAAGATGTGAGGTGTAATAGTATGGGAAGGGAGCAAAGTACCGATGTATCTTTCCGTGACAGGGGTGTGTCTAACTGGACCTGGCCGTCTGCAGTGAAGGTTATGGAAGCTTGCAACCGGGAAAAGACATCAGCACCCAAAAGGTTAATGGGGCACGTGGAGGAAACAACAAACCGTGAGAGGATATCTGACCCCACATGGAGGAGTTTAGTGAGTGGGCTATTACGGGGTGTGCCATCAACCCCAACACAGGAGACATCGGTATCTGACAGGAAGGATGGGTCAGGCAGGTCTTGTTCTCTAAGAACACTACGGGCTGCACCTGTGTCAACTAAGAAGGTAGTAGGATGACCCTCTATGGGTAGAACTACAGTGGCTAATGGTCCTCCCCCATCCCCTGTAGACACTGCCATGGCAGGGGTAGCTGACACAGGCTTGCCGGTTACCTATTGCAATAAATCTAAATGAGCCTGGTCAGGGCCGGTATACCGGCGCGAAGAGGTGGTAGGGAGGCTAGCCTGCATGACGGGGCGAGCAGGACGGTTCTGTCTAGGGATGGGCCAGCCCTCTTGGAAATCATCAGTGTCAAACCCATCAGCAGGAGCAGGAGGGTAAGCACGCGCATCTGCAGGACAGGGGTAGTGGTAGCGGGAACAGTAGGATGGGCTAAGGCAGAGAGGGCGGAGAGAAGAGACAAAAGGTCAGTAGGAGGGGTAGAAGGGGAAGGAGAGTTGATGGTCGCAGAAGGAGAGAGAGAGTGGGAGGGGTGGAGTCAGTAGGATGGGTTAGGGCTGAGAGGGTGGAGAGTAAAGATGAGAGATCTGTAGGAGGA